TTAGTAGTACCGTACCTACGTTATCTACTACTACCTACGGTACCGTACTATATAAGTAATTACTTATATATATATATATATATATATATATATATATATATTAAATAATACATAAATATGTCTCTATTATATGTATATACTGTTGGGGTAGGCCTTTAAAAGCTGTGATAGCATGTAAATATAAGAATTGAATGGTGAATTCAATACTTGATTAACGTAGAGTTGGGCGGTTTATGGCCTGAGTCATGTCTAAAATCTTTGGCATAGGTACTGTTGTTGAAAGCTTAGGAAGGGTCCTCCCTTATTAAGGTCGGAGAGATACACAAAAACATTCTTTGTAGGCCACGAGAGCTTCATGACGTCCTGTGTACGGATGTAGGCATGTGAGAGTGAGTGCTAAATCCTCAACAAAACTTCTGCACGGTACTTATTTAATAGCCATATTTTGGGAAACAACCCTATAAATGAACAGATCTATATGTACATAAAGAGAGTTCACATTGTACTATAGTGATACTTGCATTTGATTTGTTCTTGGGAAAAACTCGTACACATACTAGAACTATCATTTCACTATTTATTAGTAAGCTCTGACATGCCAATCAAGAGGCCTCGCACTTGAATGTAGGTCATACGCTGCGTTGGGTTGGTTTGATAAGAGAGTAATGGATCATGGATCCTGACATGAATGGAGTGTCGTAACAGTCACTTGTTTTTTACCTGGTAGATAGTAGTCTACTTCTAAAAGTATTTTTCAGTGTTATTAAAATTTTAAAAGCTCCAAAAATATTATTTTTAATTAAAATTTATGTTTATGTGATTTTTGAATTTTTAGAATTAAAAATTTTAAATGATTAGAAAACCCCCTAAAGGCTATTTATGAAATTTTCTAATAAAAAGTGGGGTGTTTTAGAAATTGTTTAAGCTAGGTAGGACCTACATGGGGCGCTACAAGGCCACACGCCACATGTGTGGGGTCTAGAGTGGTCTAAGTTCAATGGGCCGGGCTTGGGCCGGTTCATTAAGATTTATTAGTTTCTTAGTCGACAATCCCTTTTTTTTTAACCCATGAAGATTCATTAGTTTCTTTGCCCCATAATTTTTATCGTAAAAAAAAAAGAAAAAACAAATTTCAACACAAGAATCGAATATGAGACCCTGCAAAGGGGTGTCTAAAAACGGCCTAGCAAACCATCATGCCATTAAACATTTGTTATAATGAGGTGCGACACTTAACATATGTATCTTTTAATATTTACTTATTTTTTTAAAGATTTTTATCTTAATTTTTTGGTGTAAGTGTATTTCTGAAAATATAAATAAATAAGTGTATTTCTGAAAATATAAATAAATAAACATAATTAAAATATTTTAAATAAAAATAAGCAAAACACCCCCAATTATTTTGATCAATATTTTTTTTTTAAAATGTGCGGCGAGACAAGAATGGATAGATTTCGAAATGCTTACATTTAGGAAAAATTAAGTGTGGCTCCAATAGGTAATAAGATGAAAGAAAGTAGACTTAAGTGGGCTGGTTATTTGTAGCGTAGACCCAATACAACAATATTAGGAGGTATGAGTTGTTTCTTTGTCTGCCCCCTGGTTCCTCTTCCCTTCCTATCCCCTTGAACTCTGTCTTTTATACCCATCTTTTGGCTACTGGTTTAGCCGTCTACTTTTAGACGCTGCCTTTTTGGCGGTCTGGGTGTTGCACCAACCCCGGCATATGTGCTTCTTGTAGAAGGGGTGATGCTTTGGTTTGTTTTCAAGTTGGTGATGCTTGGGCTCAAGGACGTGAACAGAATAAGCCTGCTCGCTTAAGTGGTCAGTGAGTTTTCCAAGCTTCTGGATGGAGTAGGGTCTTCGATTTTTAGTGATTTTTGGTGTCTTAGGAGTTTTGGTTGATCTTGCTTTAAAGTAGGGCTTCTTACCCTATTTTTCCTCTTTTGAAATTGTAATATTGGAGTTTATCTCCTTATATTAATGAATACTTACTCAATGTTTTTTTTTTAAAAATACAACGTGCGACACTTAGCATATGTATCTTTTAATATTTACTTTTATTTTTAAGATATTTATCTTAATTTTTTGGTGTAGGTGTATTTTTAAAATATAAATGAATAAAAATTATTAAAAATATTTTAAATAAAAATAAGCAAAATATCCCCTATTACTTTGACCAATATTTTTTGTTGACAATGTGTGGTGGAACAAAAAGGGATAGAATTTGAAATGATTATATTTAAAAAAACTCAGATGTGGCTCCAGTAGGTAATAAGATAAAAGAAAGTAGACTTAGGTGTGCTAGTTATCTATAGTGGAGACTCAATACAATAATGTTGGGAGGTACGAATTGTTTCAAGTGAAAAGCTAAAAAATGGTAAGAGGTAGGATCAAAAGGACATGATTAGAAGTAGGGAGAAAAGATATAGGGACTATGATGTCACCAAAGGTATGACACTTGACTAGGATTCATGTAGTCTGGCCCAAATAGTTAGAAAAAGGCTCTAATAATGATGAATAATAATTTCTAAAAGTATGTATTAAATAATACATAAATATGTCTATATTGTATGCATATATTGTTGGGGTAGGCCTTTAAAGGCTGTGATAACATGTAAATACAAGA